GTTAGTTACCCCAAGACTCAATGGGGGTACAGTCATTGGGCAAATACTCCTGTTCCTAAAGGGAGAAATTGGCCAAAAGAAAGGGGCTACAGGCCCCATGCAAGTCCAAAACCCAGCAGGTTACTTATTAAGTCTTAAAACCCCAAAATAATCTCTTTGACTCCATGTCTCATGTCCAGGGTACATGGGGGTGGGCTCCCAAGGCCTTGGGCAGCTCTACAACTTGTGCCCTCTGAAGCAGCAACCTGATCTGTACCTATGCTGCTTTGAGCCAAGGCTAGAGCTAGAGCAGCTGGAATGCAGAGAGCAGTGTCCTGAGGCTACTCAGGGTGGCAGGCACTGGGCCTGGCCCACCAAACTATTCTTCCCTCCTAGGTCTCCAGGCCTATGATGGGAGGGGCTACCTCAAAGGTCTTTGAAATTCCTTCAAGGCCTTTTCCCCATTGTCTTGGCTAATGCAAATTTCTGCAGCCTGCTTGAATTCCTCCCCTGAAAATGGACTTTTCTTTTCTGTCACATGGCCAGGATGCAAATTTTCCAAACATGTATGCCCTGCTTCCCTATTAAAGTTCCAATTTTATGTCATTTCTTTGCTCACACATATAAGCATAGGTTGTTAGAAGCAGCCAGGTCAGATCTTGAACTCTTTGCTGCTTAGAAATTTCTTCTTCTGGGTTGGGCATGGTAGCTCATGCCTATAATCCCAGCACTTTCAGAGGCCAAGGTGGGCAGATCACAAGGTCAGGAGTTCGAGACCAGCCTGGCCAACGTGGTGAAACCCTGTCTCTACTAAAAATACAAAAATTAGCCGGGCGTGGTGGTGGGTGCCTGTAATCCTAGCTACTCAGGAGGCTGAGGCAGGAGAATTGCTTGAAACCGGAAGGTGGAGGTTGCAGTGAGCCGAGGTCATGCCACTGCACTCCAGCTTGGGCAACAAGAGTGAAATTCTGTCTCAAAAAAAAAAAAAAGAAATTTATTCTTCCGTGTACCCTAAACTGTCACTCTTGAGTTCAGAGTTTCACAGATCTCTAGGGCCAGGGCACGATACAGCCAGGTTCTTTGCTAAGGTATAACAAAAGTGACCTTTGCTTCACCTCCCAATAAGTTCCTGATTTCCATCTGAGACCTCCTCAGCCTGGACTTCATTGTCCATATCCCATAAGCATTTTGATCGCAACCATTCAGCAAGTCTCTAGGAAATTTCAATTTTTCCCTCATCTTCCTGTCTTCTTCTGAGCCCTCCAAACTTTCCCTCTGTCTATTACACCGTTCCAAAGTTACTTCCACATTTACAGATACCTTACAGCAATACTGCTCTCCTGGTACCAATTTTCTGTAGTTAATCTGTTCTTGCATTGCTATAAAGAAATACCTGAGACTGGGTAATTTATAAAGAAAAGTTTAATTGGCTCATGGCTCTACAGGCTGTACAGGAAGCATGATACTGGCATCGGCTTGGCTTCTGTGGAGGCCTCAGGAAACTTAGAATCATGGCAGAAGGTGAAGGCAGAACCAGCACTTCATATGGCTGGAGCAGGAAGAAGAGAGAGAGGGAGGAGGTGCTACAGTTTTTAAACAGCTAGATCTTGGGATAAATCACTCACTCATTATCACAAGAACAGCACCAAAGGGATTGTGCTAAACCAATCATGAGAAACTGTTTACATGATACAGTCACCTCCCACCAAGTACTACCTGCAACACTGGGGATTACAATTCAATATGAGATTTGGTGGGGCACAGATCCAAAGCATGTCAGGTGCCTATTTGACCTTTAAGTGAAGAAGGTGAATAGACAATTGGCTGTATAAGTCTGGGTGGAATGGGTTGGGTGTACAAATTGAGTGTTGTAAGCATATAGATGGTATTTAAAGCCATACAACTAGATGAGATACCAAGGAAATGAATATAGATTTTTAAAGGGGAAGAGAGAAAGTCTCAACATCTGAGCTTTAGGACCCTCCACATCAGGGAAGTGAGAAGAACCAGCAACTTAGACTAAAGAAGTAGCCAGAGAGAAATAGAGAAAAAACAGAAATATGGTGATACAGAGAGCTAAGTAAATGAAGTGTTTCAGTAGAAGTGTTTCAGTAGGTAGGGGTTATCAACAATTCTTGGTATATCAAATAAGATAAGTACTGATAATTGACTATTGGATTTAGCAATGTGCAGGTCATTGGTGATCTTCATGATGCTCAGCAGAGTGAATTTAAAATGAAGTGAGTTCATGGGAGGAGAGGAATTGGCAGCAATGAGAAGAGATAAACCATTAGGAGTTTTGCTGTAATGAGGGACAGAAAGTTGTTCTTTGGGAAAAGAGGAGTTGAGAAGTTTTTGTGTTTTGTTTTAATTATTAGTGTTTTAAGATGGAATAAATCATGTTTGTATACTGATGTGAATGATCCATCAGAGAAAGAAAAATTGCTGGAGCAATGTCTTTGTCCACTCAAGGGAGGATGGAATTTAGTGCATAAGTGGAGAGGCTGGCTTTAGATAGGAACATAGACAATTCATCTGTTATGACAGAAGGGAAGTCGTATTATATGGATATAATTCTTGTACAGTAGGTGGGAAGATGTGGTGGGGGGCTTTTGAAAATTATTTTCAAATTTCCTTTTTCTTAGTGAAATAGAAAGCAATGCCATAAGTTGAAAGATAGGATAGGGAGGTGTTAGAGAAAAGAGGGAGAAAAGTCATCTAAGAGAATGAGACATTAATACACAAGGGGAATGTAGTATGATTTCTGAGCGGAATTAAAGCCCCACTTGAGATTAGTAGTCATGAATTTAAAGCGACATCAGCCAGGCATGGTGTCTCATACCTGGAATCCCAGCACTTTGGGAGGTGGAAACAAGTGGATTGCTTGAGACCAGCCAATGCAATAAGGTGAGAACCTGTCTTTACGAAAAATACAAAAATTAGCTGGTTGTGGTAGTGCATGCCTCTATAGTTTCAGCTGCTAGGAAGACTGAGGTAGGAGGATCGCTTGTCTGGGAGGTTGAGGCTGCAGTGAGCTGTGATCATGCCACTGCAACAGCCTGGGCAACAGAGACCCCTGTCTCAATAATAATAGTAATAATAATAATAATAATAAAGTGATATCAGTCAGCAGCCACTTTAGCTGCACAGTTGCAGGTGCGGAAGTAGAAAGTTGGGCTTTTGCTGAGCAAGTAAAATGAAGTCAGATGGAGGTAAGTTGTCAGTCTGTACAAGAGAATGATTATGAAACATGAATATTTCTGATTGCATTTTTCATAGTAGCCACCAAAAGCTGGAAATAACCTAAATGTTCATCAACTAATGAATGAATATACAATGGAATGTTAGCCATAAAAGGAAATAAAGTACTGATACATGCCAAAGCATGAATGAATGAACTTTGAAAACATCATGCTCAGTGAAAAACCAGATGTAAAAGGCCACATATATGATTCCATTTTTATGTAGTGTCCATAATGGGCAAATCCACAGAGAAGATAATTAACGTTATGATTGGGACTGAGTGGAGAAAGGGGAGTGGCTGTTAATGGGAACATAGTTTCTTTTTGGAGTGATTAAAATATTCTGGAATTAGACAGTGGTAATAGTTGCACAACTCTAAACATACTAAAAATCACTTTAGAAAGGCAGATTTTATGGTATGTGAATTATATCTCAATAAAGCTATTATAAAAATAACATGCTCGTTCACTAGAAATTTGCTTATCCCAAACTCAACAAATTAAACAGCTCAGAAATATAGTCTAATCAACTAATGTAGGACTAAGGTGAACAAGTAGCCGTATTACAATGTTTGCAGTCTTTTTTCAGGTTTGAAGATTACAGTTGTTTTTTTCTCAAACATCCCTTAGTATTAAAATGCTATTGGTTAAGTTGCAGAGCTTGTGAGGAGAGACCAGTTCTGGCTCTGTCTTAATTACTTAGTATATTCATTTCTCCATCCCTTCCTCTCTCCTTCCAATTAACAAACCTTTACTAAGCTATACAAATCATCAAGCACTATCCTAGGTACTACTGGTAATACAAAGATGGATTGGACTTGGTCCCTACCCTTTAATGTGAGGTTTAATGGGGAAATGAGGTTTAGGAACTTAGAGCACATTTCATTTTTAGGGTGAGGCTACTCTAATTGTTCTTCAGCATCCTCCCATCTATAGCTTATAGATAAAGTATGCACTCAAGGCATAAGAAACTTACTTGGATCTTCTTTAAGCTTGAAACATTCTTCCTGTTGTCTCTGGAACATCAGACATTCTTTCTCCTGTTACTCTAAAGTATTTTGGGGCTATCAGATGGAAACTCATAATAATTTTCTTTCATCTGATGCTCTAGACCTGAAATATCTTTTATAAAAACTTCAACATTCAAAATTATGATGTGTGTTAGGTAAAGTGTGCGTACTGGTGCTATCTGCAAAACAAATAATAATGTTTACCTTGCAGGATTGTTGTGAGGGGGTCAATGAGTATACATAATTCATATATGGAAGTGTCAAACACATGAGCTCCTCAATAAACATTATACTTTATCACTTTGCCAAAGTCTACAAACACTAATTTTATATTTGGAGATACGTTGAGATTGCAGATATAGCCATAGACCTTAATAGACAAACCCTAATTCCAGAGTTTGCCATTCATTGATGGAAATTAATTGATTCAGAGATGTTGACCATGTCTACCTTATTATTTAATAACTTAATTAACTTACTACAAATCTATCAATGTTTTCCATCTTGGATTTTTATATCATAAAAATGTAGAATTCTTAGCTTATGACTATGTGAAAAATAGATATTGGCTAATGCTTTTTAATTATTATAAGCTAATTGTATTTTGAATCTCATGCCTAACCGACATGTAATGTTATATGCTGGGCTTTGAATTTACTAAAAAGTTATTTTGTTATCTTCCTAGAATGGAGCTGGTTTGTCAAAATCCAAAGGAAGCCGAATTGGATTTGATAGCACACAGTGGGTATGTAGAATAAACAAGAAATTTCTCAATTATAATGTTCATTTAGTTCATTCATTTACTCCGTAAGTATTTGTTGAATGATGGTAGTAGTAATAGCTACCTTGTGTGGTGGGTGACCAGTTGGTAGTGGCAGGTAAGGAACAGGCCCTCTACAGAGTGCTTTATGCAATGTCTTATTTAGTCCTTATAGAAACTTTAAGAAGTGAGTAAATATTGTTACTCTCAATTCACTTAGAGAGATTAAAGTTAGTTGACTAATAATTTGGTAAGACCAGATTCTGTCTGCCTCTAAAACCCTCATTCACTGAGCTATGATGTTTCTCTAAATGAATGAATATATGAATCAAATATTCAGATGAATATTTGAATAAGGGACAAGTAATGATCAGGAATAAAAATCTATTCAACATAGTTCCTTTATAAGATGAGAGGAAACCAGCAATATACACAATATATCCTTGTTTTGTTTTACAAATTTCAGAACCTACGCATTGATAAAATATATTTTCCTATGTTTTAAAACTAAATTTAGAAAGAAAAATATTGCTGGGTTACTAATAAAACACAACATTTATTCTGTTAGTATACATTATAGGAATGACCAGATATTTCATGATACACTTCAATCTTTGGCTTCTGTATAACCAGAGATGTGGAACTCTTTAAATTAGAGTGGATTTTCCGATCGCCAAGCAGTGGTCATTTTAGGTCATTGTTAACACCAAGTAGATTTTGAACTACTGTTTAAAAGTAAAGTTGGGGATATCCTGTTATCAGGCTTCCCAGCTCTCTAGTCTATAAGTATCAATGTAAACTTTCAATTTATAAAAAATAGCAATTGTTTTGCTCTGTGAATTTAGGGTATTCTGAGGATAAAGGTAAGCATGATATACTTGGAATTTATACTACCCAGTCACAGTTATAAAGATTTTAGATTAAATTAAAAAGAAGTATTTTGTATGCTTCTCTGTAACCCTTCTCTACATCCATGCCACCCTTAGAAAACACATACATGTAATACTTGGACCAGATTTATCATCCTGTGGTTGAAGCAATTTGCTGAGATTTAAAATTCAGTATTTAATAGCCAAAGGCAATAGTGGTGATCTATCATACATTTTAACATTATAAGATGTGATGATACTTAGAGAAACATAAATTTTTCAGGTTTGCCATTTATTAGGAGTCTTCATCTGTACACTGAAAAGCAATTTCAGAAAAAAATTTAAGTTGTTGTAGCTTCAGTTGGATAAAAGGTTTTCCTTTATCAGTATTAACCAACATTCTGACAACATTCCCAAACCTTTTAGTAAATAGAGCAGTCGGAGAAGGTACAGGTTCACTGATACATTTTTAAATGGAATTTGTGAAAAATTTAAAGCTTAAAATAATAGAAAAAGGTAGCGTGACTCTATCCTTTTCATTCAAGAAATGATCCTTGAGGTGGGAGAAAATAATGGATTTTTTTCAAAGTCTTTACTTCCATGGTACTCAAGCAAAAAGTTGAAGAGCAGCTTGCATTCAGTGAGTTCTCTTTATACTCTTTTACATTGAGGGGACTAAAAAAAATTGTAAATGTGGTCAATGAATCACTGTATTTGCAAAATCACAGGAAAGCAGAAGTACTAATATACTTCTAAACTTTTAGAAGGAATAAAAGGTGAAATCTCATCAATAGTGTGATATTGAGCCCTGGTAAAATTCTAGGGCTCAATGTTTATTGAGTTATTAAACAGATGACTTGGGAGCACTTAGAAAAGAAAATGATAATAATTAGGAACTAGTCTTTTACTAAGAACAAGTCCTGCCAAGCCTTTTTAAGTTTTAATAAAATTTTAATACACAGGCAGATGAATAGGCTATTGTGGTCTCAGTATAATCTCTTTTCAACAAGATGTTTTTCATTCTTATAAACAAAATTAATTACTGAACGTCAGATGATAATAGTGATTTAGAATTAATTGGATTTAGAATCAATTGAACACGTTTCCAAGGAGCATTAATGATTGTATTGATAACAACTTGGAGGATGTGTTTAGAAGGTGAGTTATAGAATCTCTCCTTGACCCTGACCTAATCTGTATTTCTATTAATAATGGTAATGAAGCTATGTGTGTTCATCATATTTGTATTTAACACCAAGCTGAGATCCATTAAACAAACATTAAAGTACCTTTTATGTAGTAGTTCTGTTATCTCATCTTTCTTCCAAAATCATTTCTTTCTTGTTTTTTTTCCTAGTATAAAGCACAGAAAACAATAACCCTAAAAGACACATACACACAAAAAATAGCTAAATTGGACTATTAAAATTTTAAACTTCTCCTCATCAAAAAACACCATTAAGAAAACGAATAAGCATGCCACAGAGTAGAAAATATTTGTAAAACATTTATCTCACAAAGGAAGGGTATCAGAGATATGTGAAGAACTCCCACACGACTCAGTAAATTTTTTGTTCATGCCTTTCATCAAGTTAAGGATGTATTATTCCTGGTTTGCTGAAAGTTTTAAGTCATGAATAGATATTGAATGTTGTCAAATGCTTTTTTCTTTATTGAAATTATCATAGTTTTTCCCTTTTTTCTGTTGATTTGTCACATTTTATTGATTGATTTTCATATGCTAAAGTAACTTTTCATTCCTAGGATAAATACTATTTGGTCATGATATTTACTTTCCTTTTTTATCTTTTTTTAGTTACTAGAATTGATTTTCTAATATTTTATTAAGTATTTTTGCATCTATGTTCATGAGGGATGGTGGACTATACTTTGTTTTTGTAATGTCTTTGTCGGGTTTTGCTTTTTTTTTTTTTTTTTTTTGAGATGAAGTTTCTCTCTGTTGCCCAGGCTGGAGTGTGGTGGTGTGATCTCGGCTCACTGCAACCTCCACCTCCCGGGTTCAAGTGATTCTCTTGCCTTAGCCTCCCGAGTTGCTGGGACTACAGGTGCACGCCACCACGCCAGGGTAATTTTTGTATTTTTAGTAGAGACGGTGTTTCACCATGTTGGCCAGCCTGGTCTTGAACTCCTGACCTCAGGTAATCCACCTGCCTTGACCTCCCAAAGTGCTTGGATTACAGGCGAGAGAAGTTTTGCTATTAAGTATTGCACTGGCCTCTTAAAATCAGATAGGAAGTATTTTCTCCTGCTCCATTTTCTGAGAAAGTTTTTGTAGAATTGGTATTCTTCCTTAAAAATGGTAGAATTCACCAGTGAACTGTCTTAAGTCTGAAGTTTTTCCTTGCTATTTTGAGGGCTGGTTTTTTTTTTTTTCCCCTAACAAATTTAGTTTCCTTAATAGGTATAGGGCAATTCAGATTTTGTTTCATCTTGTGATAGTTTTGTTAAATTGTATTTTTAAAGAAATTTCTGTCATCTAACTTGAATTTTTTGGTGTAACATTGTTTATCCTAACTTTTTACTTAGCTGTTTCTCACACTGAGGTAATAAACCCCTATAAGGCAGAGATTATTGTATTCTTGGCATTTGCATAATACTCTACACTAAAAATAAATAATGACACTGATTCTTAGCTTTATCTCATCCTTTATCCCTAAAAATGATACTTTGTCTATTTATCTTGTATATATTTTTATGAGTTCCTTCAAATTTTCTGAATAAGAATTTATTCTTAATTTCATGAAGCACCTTTTTGATAGGCAAACATTCCTTTAAGTCTTGCTTTCACTGAAGTAGGCTTTTAAGCAATAGTGTATGCCAGATACTCTGTTTATCCTTGCTGCTCTTAGGTATTACTTACTCCTAAGTGTGATTTAGTCTGTTTTCATTCTACTGTTGAATTTTTGTTTTTTTCAGTAGGGGACCCTAGTTACTGCCCAGCAGAGTTATATTTTGAAATATTGCGATATTAGAAAAGCATATTATACATGGCAGTCATCAAACAGGCAGTGTATTTTGGTCTGAGTCTTTTGAAAGATTATTAAGCAGCATTACACACATGAAGAAAAATGGTACAAACAACTGATTTTTGTTTTTGAAAGATTAACAAGACTGATTTTTAAAAGCTGACAGATAGTTCTCTCAATTTTGCTTGAAAAGATTTAGCTAACATTAAGAGAATAATTTTGTAAGCCCCACATTTTCATGTCAGATACTACTTCCTCTGTTAAATTTCTTCTCCTTTTGATGTACGGCAAATTTGTAGCTTACTGGTCTGTACTTTTATAATATGTTGTATATGTTTTTATTATAGCATATTTCACCTTATATTGAAAATGTTCATCTTTCTTAGAAGACTGCTTATTGAGAGCAGAGACCATATGTGCTATTTAATCATTTGTATTTTTTAGCACAATGATAAGCATGGTATCTACTGGGTAAATACTCTGCATTCTTATGCAATTAATGCATTAAAATGTTATAAAATAGGCTGTTGTGTTGGCTTACTGGAAATACGAGAATTCTTTTTCTCTCAAACAGCGTGCAGTTAAAAAATTTATTATGCTAACATCCAACCAAAATGTACCAGTGTTTCTTATTGATCCTTTGATATTGGAATTGATTAATAAGAACTTTGAACAAGTGAAAAATACTTCTCAAGGCTCCATTTCACAATGCACATTTTTCTGTGTTCCAAGAGACTTTACTGCATTTGCACTGCAGTATCACCTATGGAAGAATGAGGTAAGTGATTTGCTTTCAGATAATGGAATGTCTCTCTTTTTACAAAATAGTATGGGTTTAGGCTGGTTTAAAATGCAAAACATTAAAAAATTTCCTAAAACACTTTATAAATTGTATCAGGAATATTTTCAGCTATAAATAACAATACAACTAATCACTAAGGCAAACAGGGGATTTCTTTTTCTTATATAATGAGGAGTTAAAAGGTTAGTGGCTATTGATATTAGTTTAGCTAGCCACTGATGTCAGGACTTGTGTCTCTGAAATTCTTTATTCATTTACCTCATTATCACAGGATAGCTGTCATAGCTCCAGATATCACATCCATGTTCACAACAGGAAGACGAGAGGAAGGATTCTGCTTTTTTGCTGGGGGACGTCTTCTCAATATCAGTATTTTTAGGTCATTTCTGTTGATCTGTTTGGTATCTCATAGAAAAAGCCTACAAGGCTTATTTTTACAAAGAATATTTTGTAATGTCCCTTTATTTTCCCCAAATGAAGTTCATAGAAATTACAACCCTCCTATATACATAATTCCCCAAATCAATATAATGCGTTAACTATAATATAACCTAGAAATAAAAGGAAATGGTATGTATTTCAGTGTGCAGATGTTCCAGAATGACTACACTAGAAGACGTAATAAAGTAATTCCGATGCTTGTATTTAGAAGTAAGATCACAGAATGTGTTAGCTACAAATATAAACTCATATTATGAATGATATTGTTGGCAATATGATTTTCCAAATTAGCGCACAAGTTTCCAACAACAAAAAAGTAAAATTGTTTCTCCGTTGACATGACTATTGTATTCCTGAGAAATAAAGGCTCAGACAATTGTAAACAAATTTTTCACTACGTGATTATCTGACAGGACATTTGAAATTACATAGTACACAGGATAGATTTTCATATTTTGGATTGTAGGATATCTAGTGTTCTTGGCCTAGGACTCTAAATGCCAGTTTATTATCTTGATAAACCAAAAATATCCCCACAAATTTCTAAAATGTCTGTTGGGTGCAGTCCCACTTGCCTTGAGAATCACTATTTTAGAAGAAGGGGAATATGCCACCATTGGCAAAACTGATACTACCTTAGTCAGAGGAAGAAGCAAAAGCTCAGCCGACCCAGAATTAGCACATGGGTTCAAGTTTATTCTTTGTTTGTTTGTTTGAGACGGAATCTTGCTATGTTACCCAGGCTGGAGTGCAGTGGTGCAATCTCTGCTCACTGCAACCTCCGTCTCCCAGGCTCAAGGGATTATCCTGCCTCAGCCTCCCGAGTAGCTGGGATTACAGGTGCATGCCACCACATCCAGCTAATTTTTTTTTTTTTTTTTTTAAGTAGAAACAGGTTTTCACCATATTGGCCAGGCTGGTCTTGAACTCCTGACCTCAAATGATCCACCTGCCTCAGCCTCCCAAAAGTTTATCCTTTTGTACATGTGACATCCTGCTATTCAAGAGATTCAAGAGCCCTTGGATAGTCCCCCCCAAAACTTCCCCGAATGTGGAACTAATCAGATTGTTAGATCTAATAATGAAAGGCTCCATTTGCATGTGAGTTTTCTGTGTTAATGCCATTACCATAAAGTGAGCAGACCTCTGCCAGGGCAACTGGGAGTGAACTTTTGCAGCATAACCTTGACCTAGGCCTTTACACCAATTGATCAGATCAACTATTTTGTTCTTTACTTATCTTGTTGATAGTTATAAGAAAGCAAACCATATCATAATTCTGCCTATTTTGTCTGTCAGTCTTTCCTCCTATAACCCAAGGTCACATTCCTCTCAAGTTCTGGCCGCCTTTTAAATATTTCCTGAATTTATCAGCTGATAATGCCTTTCTTTTATTCTATTCAGTAGTGTCTTTCTCTGAATTGGCTACCCTCACCCTCAGTCAGTGCTTTCTACTTCTTAGGTGTACCAAGAAAGAAAAGGGAAAAAGGGAATATTACAGTTGATAATGAAACAAATGATGTTGGAAAATGAACCTTGTCTCACAGTATATTTGTTTACTTTCTAATGATTTGCATTATGATGGTGTTCTATTATGGTAGTATTTTAAGATGCTGGGATGTAAACTCTGAGATGAAAGAACTACTTTTTTGAAGTACTTTGGAAGATAAAGGTTATTAAAAGTTAAATTAAGAATTACAAGTTTAATTTTAAGTGCTGTCCTTGAATCAACATTTACTTTATAGAAACTAACCAGAAAACACTGATATGAGCATTCTCATTCCAAGGAAGGGATTTGTATTAATTTTCATAAAGAGAGTGTTTTTTTTTTTTTTTTTTTTTTTTTTTTTTTTTTTGAGGCAAGGTCTCACTCTGTCACCCAGGCTTGAGTGCAGTGGCACGATCTTGGCTCACTGCAGCCTTGACCTCTCAGGTTCAAGCGATCCTCCTGGCTCAGACCCCCAAGTAGCTGGGACTGCAGGTGCATGCCACCACACCCCAGCTAATTTTTTTTGGTATTTTTTGTAGAGACAGAGTTTCACCATGTTGCCCAGGCTGGTCTCAAATTCCTGAGCTCAAGTGATCCGCCTGCCTCAGCCTCCCAAAGCGCTGGGATTACAGGGGCGAGGCACAGAGCCCAACCCATAAAGAGTCTTTGGCTATATCTTTCCTGCTACATACTTTGTATTTTTGCTACTTTCCTTTTTTCTCCCACCACTACCTTCTGCCCATCACCTTCATTTAAAAATATTCTTACAAAGCAGATTAGCACAAAAAATATGGCTCAAGTTCAACGTAAGAATCACTTTTGTTTTGCTACTAGTATTTGACTTTAAATATTCCGTGTTTAAATGTTGTTTCTTGATGTTTGATGCTTCTTTGGTTCTAGGAAGGCTGGTTTCGGATAGCTGAGAATATGGGATTTCAGTGCCTAAAGATTGAGAGTAAAGATCCCCGGCTAGACGGGATAGACTCACTTTCTGGAACTGAAATCCCCCTGCACTATATCTGCAAATTGGCCACTCATGCGATCCACTTGGTAGTCTTCCATGAGAGGAGTGGCAACTACCTCTGGCACGGCCACTTGAGACTTAAAGAACACATTGACAGGAAATTTGTCCCCTTCCGAAAGTTGCAGTTTGGTCGTTATCCAGGAGCTTTTGACAGGTAAGTTCAGAGTCAAAAGGTGAAATGTGAAATGAGTGTTGTTCAGTCATAATTCTTGCAGTGTTTTTACATTTGAGTATTGAAATCTAATATATAATTTATATAAGTGTTTATAGTAACGTTGTTCTTAATGCCTCCAAATTAGAAGCAACCCAAATGTCCTTCAACAATAAAAGGATTGGCTGGGCCCTGTGACTCATACACATAATCCCAGCACTTTGGGAGGCCGAGGCGGGCGGATTACCTGAGGTCAGGAGTTCCAGACCAGCCTGGCCAATGTGGTGAAACCTCATCTCTACAAAAAATACAAAAATTATCCGTGCATTGTGGCAGGTGCCTGTAATCCCAGCTACTGGGGAGGCTGAGGCAGGAAAATTGCTTGAGCCCCGGAGGCGGAGGTTGCAGTGAGCCAAGATTGTGATACCACACTCTAGCCTGGGCAACAGAGCAAGACTCTGTCTCAAAAAAAAAAGAAACAAAAAACAACAACTATAAAGGGATAAATAATTTTTGATATATATATATTCATATAATGAATTATTACACAGCAGGGAAAAATAAACTAGAGGTCTATGCACATCGTGGATGAATCCTGCAATGCTGAATGACACAAGGCACAAAAGAATCTAAATTCTATTATTACTTTTATAAAAAATTCAAACACCTGCTAAATTATGTTCATAGATGTATACCCTTACAGTAAACGTGTTAAGAAGGCTAAGCAAGAGGTACCAAAAAAGACTAGATAGAGGACACAGAGAACTACAGGGAAGCTGGAAGAATTTTATTTCTGTGGTGGAGACTTTGGTGTTTACTTTAAAATTCATTATTTTGTGCCTTTATGTTATGCACTTTCCTGTATATTTTTTAAAACCATGTGCAATAATTTATCTTTGGCTATTGCAATAATAAAAATGTTTCTTGTGAGAAACAGTTACTTGAAGGAACTCATGTAAAATTTGATTAGGTTTAGTTTGTAATGTTAACAATTACAGGACTAAAAACATTCTTGAAGTTATACTTGGAGTATGAAGTTTCTAACCTAGAATTGTCCCTTTTTTTCTCCTTTTGAAATCAGCAATAATGATGTTACAGTCTACTTTGAATAGCAGAATCTGATGTAAAGGCAGCAGTAAATATTTGTAAGGATTTTCACATTAAAAACTCCTTCTTAGCAACTTCCAGTGAGATAATTCTTATCTGTTACGCTTGAGAAGTATAAGAGTATGTTTATTCTTGCCTTCTTTAAAAAAAATATATTATATATATGTTTTCTCTCTCACTTTCTATCTGGAATCATGTGATATTGCCTTCTTGTTAGTACTTAAAGTCACATATTTGAGAATGACTGAAAAAGGTATTCAGAACTGAAATCTTCTATATTTTTTGTGTATTGAAAGTCAAAACTTTTCTGAACCAAGCCATATTTTCAAAATGAAATGACCAAAAAAAAAAAAAAAAAATGAGTAGAGATGGAGAAAAATACTTTGTTTTTATTATTGACTTCTCTTATTTTAATCAAAAATTTTAGTACTCACTGTTCTCTTACCACTTTTTTGCATGTTTTTTTCTTATTCTGTATTTTGAATAACCTTCTTTAGGGAGACATTATCTTTTAGTTTTTTAAAGCTTTGCAAATTTATTTCAAAGTTTAATAACTCAGTAAAGTTCAAAATTGTCAATTACTTATTAAATATAAATGTGTAACAATAGATAAAAGCTATCTCTACATTGTACAATTTTATATGAATAGGAATGGAAAACTCTCAAATAATATTTTTAGAGTATGGGATCCAAAATACATAAGATAGATTTCCAGATTAGCATTTTACCCATTAATGAGATTCTCAGGCCATTGTAATTAACTTGTGTGACTTACGTGTTAAAAATATTTACTTCTCTAAAAGTAAACTGATAATTAAAAATTATGTCACAAAATTTTTGTTTCTGCTTAAAATGCCAAAGTGTATATGAACAAGTACAACTATATTAATATATAAATACATTAACCAAAATAATTAAAACTCAACTGTTTGAGGTCAGATTTTTCTAGGTCTTATTAAAATTGCTAATCGATATCTGATCTAATTGATGAAACTATGCTTGATGTTTAAGTATTTTGCTAATATTTGATGTTTGTAAGAGGCTGCCAGTATTCTGGGTTAAATCCTTTTAATAAATTTTTTTAAAATTATTTATTTATTTTTTAAATTTTACTTTAAGTAGTGGGATATATGTGCAGAACTTGCAGGTTTGTTACATAGGTATACATGTGCCATGGTAGTTTGCTGCACCTGTCAACCTGTTATCCAGGTTTTAAGCTCTGCATGCATTAGGTATTTGTCCTAATGCTCTCCCTCCCCTTTTCCCCGACCCCTCAATAAATCTTAACTTTTGTTTTCAGGCCAGAGTTACAGCAAGTTACTGTTGATGGACTGGAAGTTCTCATTCCAAAGGATCCAATGCACTTTGTAGAAGAAGTACCACACTCTAGGTTTATTGAGTGTAGATATAAAGAAGCTCGAGCATTCTTTCAGGTTAGAGACAACCAAATGTGTACTTTTACATTAAAGAAAATGTTGGGATTATTTTTAATATTTGAAGATGGGAAGATGAAGGGGCTTATGGAAAATAGAAAAGTAAACATCCTTTTTTGATATGTCTCTTTTCTTCTAGATTGTTTTCTTTCAGTTTTTTAAAAAGTAGATTAAAAATTAACCTTAAGAAACTATTTTCTAAGTCAATAGGTTGATATTTATTTATTATTTGAATAACTTTAATAGATTTCGCACTGGCTTCTGCCTTGAGTTAAGATAGCCCATTAACTTTGTAAAAAGTGGTGTATTCTCAGTCCAAGTAGTAGGATAAAGCCACTGTAGAAGATGGACTATCTAGATTTAGAAAAGACCTCATGAAAATACAGTTTGTTTCAGAGTTGGCATTGAATATGATTTATTTTTGCATTTATGAAGGTTTTTGAAGATAAGTGCTACACGAAGACCAAGTACTTTTAAAACTTTATTCTCTTGCTGCAGCTTTCAGTTCAATACACATTTATTGTGTTCCCCTGGCTTCTGGCCCTGGGGATATAAAAATGATTTTGAGAGGCATGAAAGTTCAGCTCTAAGAGATGACATGAAACACAGAGATACAGCGAAAACAGGCAAATTTACAGTGGCGTTTTGGTACCCGAATTCTTTCACTTGCCCTTTATTTTCTGGGGTTCCCTGCCAAGAAAACTGTATCCATGAGGGTTATAAAAATGAAGTATGTTACTGTCCAGTGCCCAAGACCCACAAATCTGAGGTTTCTCTAATCCAGTGTACTGGCACCTAAAGCCGAGTGGCACCTAAACCCAAGTGGGCCTTCCTAGCCCTGTTTCCTTAAGTCATTGTGGAGCTGTGAAATGGCAGCCAGCCTCATGAATAAAAAGCTGAAAAACCACATGCGTGGGTGGGCCTACTCTAGTAGAAAAGTGCTGCCTGACATATGCCTACCACATAATAACAGGAAGTAGAAGAGATGGAGTTTTGTGCTTAAACTTGACCGCTCTTCCTGTCCTAAGGGAGTTTGCTGTGGTTGTCATGTCTATTATAGCAATTATCACAGTGAATTATGAATATCTATCTCATCCTCTTACCAAATTTTATGAACTGCTTGATAACAGGAGTGTTCTTTTATTTACCTGTGTTGGCCCAGTATCTACTGTACCTGGCACAAAGAAAAGCTCCGGTAGGGTCAGTTTTCAAATTAAAGTGAACATACATGTATTTGAACACTTGATGGCGCCAAACAGTCTTAAATGTAATGCTTTGGTGTAAAACAAGCAATGAATTAATCTAATAGATCTCATAAGGCAGCCTCCTATCTTTTTTTAAAATAATTTTTAAAAAGCACTTTTAAATACATAAAAGCTGCAAGTACAGTACCGATAGCTTTTTTTTTTTTTTTTCCTGAACCACTTGGGAGTAAGATGTTGACCAGTTGTCCCACAACTTCAAAAAATTTAGTATTTTTTAAAACAGAGGAACATTCTCTACATGTACTGATATGAAAGCTAGGAAATTAACATGTACATTTTTACCATTTAATCCCTATTCAAGTTTTGTCAGTTGTCCCAGTAATAACCTTTGTAATTAAAGGATTCGATTCAAAATCACATGTTGTCTTAATTTTCCTGTCTCCTTAGTCTTCTTCAGTCTGGGATAGTTTCTCAGTTCTTTTATTACTTTCATGACTAATACTTCTGAAGGTTACAAGCCAGATGTTTTGTGCAGTGTCCCTCATTTGGGGTTTATCTGGGGGTTCCTCATGTTAGATTTAGGTTATACTTCTTTAGAAGGTATAGAAGTGGTGCTGTGCTCTCATTACATCTCACTGGGCACTGCATAATTTTGATTTGTCCCATTACTGTTGATATTCACATTGTTCACCTGATTAAAGTGCTATCTGAAACTTCATATCTTTACCACTATGAAGTTTCTGATTTTTTTCCTTTATAATAATAAGCGTCTGGCAAGAAGTTACTTTAAAACTATGTAAATATTGTTTTCCTCATTACATTTTCAATTCATTTGTTCATATCAATATAAATTCATGGTTTCCTATTTTACCCTATGGGTTATAGTCCATTATTTTCATTATGTATTTTGATCTTCAGATTGTTCCATATTTGGCCAGTAGAAACTCCTTTACAATGCTGTGTCTTTTTACTTGTCTCCATTATTTTTTGAACACTTTATTACTTTTTGGCACTACAAGATATTCTGGGTTCATGTTATAATTTTCCTACCTCCACCCTGGGATCAGCCATTTCTTTAAGTCTTATTTCCTTTTAGAAGCCAAGACCTGGATGCCAGGTGTACCCATTGCTATTTGGGTTTTGCTGCAGAAAGTTTCTCTCAGTGGACAGGGGTAGGGTGTGTATGTCTGTGTGTATTTATTTCTGTATCTATGTATTGAAACCTCTGAATTCACATTGATATCTCCAGTCCAAAGTTCCAATTAAACAACAGAGTTCATTTCCGTATTTGCGACTCCCTTCTCAAATTGTGAGTAACCTGACTCCCATTGTCTTCAATGTTTACTTAGTTGTTCAGTCGCCCTGTATATAACCAGTCTTCCAACACGTGTCCTCCCCTTCCTGCCCCCACCACGTGGCTGTTCTTCTCACCCTACCTGGGCACTGCTATACCCTGCTGGACTGCACCCAGGTAGAGGCACTCTTCTTACCCTGTTCAGGCTCTGACTTCCCACACCTGGCTGCTCTTCTGCAGAGAGGCTCTCCTCACCTTGCTTGGGCTCTGACTCCCCACCCTGGACACTCTCCTACCCTCTTCATGTGGGTGCTCTCATTACCTGCCCAGGCTCTGACACCCCATATCGGGCTATTCCTTTGCACAAAAACCTTTCTTGCTCTGCCGCATCTAATGGTTTTAGTATCAAATAGTTCAGGAAGAGAGGGAGACTTTATTTACTTTTAATTATTTTCTCAATCTACCATGAAGTTCAAAAACTAGAATAGTATACATTTTCCTGAATTTGATTTTGTTTTAGCAAAAACCATCACAAGATAATTAATGAGCTCCAACCTGTTGAGTATCAGTGAAAAACCAAAAGGAAAGTTGGAAATACCTGTACACCTGGCCTAGGAATATCTAGTTAGCAACATTCTTGTTTTACTTCTACTAATTTGCTCTAAGATTTTGGGTGATTTTCTGAGCCTTGCTTTCCTCATCTACAATAAAAGTTGGTACCTTCTGTCATCTTATTCTTTGATATAAGATTTGTGCTTTTGGATTCCAGGATTCTTCTTGGGCTTTGTGTCCCCATTCATTGGCTGAACAGGAAAAATCAAACGTGATATTGAAATTAGGATATTAATTTTGTCTTTTTTTTTAGAGGTATAGTAATCCTGAGATTTGTACTCGGGATTTATTTTTATTGGTTTACTTATTTATTTTATTTTTAACTTTTAAGTTCAGGGGTACAAGTGCAAGTTTGTTACATAGGTAAACTTGTGTTGTGGGGGCTAGTTGTACAGATTATTTCACCACCCAAGTATTAAGCCTAGTACCTATTAGTTATTTTTCCTGATCCTCTCTCTCCTCCCACCCTCCAAAAGGACCTACTGTGTGTTGTTCCCCTCTATGTGTCCACGTGTTCTCATCATTTAGCTCCCACTTATAAGTGAGAACATGAAGTATTTGGTTTTCTGTTCCTGTGTTAGTTTGCTAAAGATAATGGCCTTCAGCTCCATCCATGTCCCTGCAAAGAACATGATCTTGTTTATGGCTACATAGTATTCCATGGTGTATATATACTACATTTTCTTTATCTAGTCTATCATTGATGAGCATTTAGATTGATTCCATGCCTTTCCTATTGTGAATAGTGCTGCAGGGAACACATATGTATGTGTCTTTATAATAGAATGCATGATTTATATTCCTTTCAGTATATACCTGATAATGGAATTGTTGGTTCAAACGGTATTTCTGTCTTTAGGTCATTGAGGAATCATCACACTGTCTTCCACAATGGTTGAACTAATTTACACTTCCACCAACCATGTATAAGTGTTTCTTTTTCTCCGCAACCTCACCAATATCTGGGATTTTTTATTTTATTTTATTATTATTTTTTTTACTTGTTATAGTAGCCATTCTGATTGGTATTAGATAGTATCTTATTGTTTTTTATTGCATTTTCTAATGATCAGTGATGTTGAACTTTTTTCATATGATTGTTAGCCACATGTATGTCTTTTGAAAAGTGTCTATTCATGTCCTTTGCCCACTTTTTAATGGGGTTGTTTGGTTTTTTTCTTGTAAATTTGTTTAAGTTCCTGATAGATGGTGGATATTAGACCTAATATCTATGGTTTGCAAACCATAGATTTACTCTGTTGGTAGTTTCTTTTGCTATGCAGAAGCTCTTTATTTTAATTAGATCCTATTTGTCAGTTTGCTTTTGTTGCAATTTCTTTTGGCCTGTGCCTATTTTTGCCTGTGCTTATGTCCTAAATAGTATTGCCTAGGTTGTCTTCCAGGGTTTTTATAGTTTTGGGTTTTACATTTAAGTCTTTAATCTATCTTGTGCAGGATATTTTTAAATGAAAAAAAAAGTATGTATACTAAAATGTTTAAATTTTGTAACAGATGTTTAAGGTATATAGCTGTATGCATGTATGCACTTTAACACATATAAGGATCAGTTCTAAGAAATGGAATTTCGGGCCGGGTGCCATGGCTCATGCCTGTAATCCTAGTACTTTGGGAGGCCGAGGTGGCTGGATTGCCTGAGCTCGGGAGTTTGAGACCTCCCTGGGCAACATGGCGAAACCCTGGCTCTACAAAAAATAAAAAAATTAGCTGGATATGGTGGTGTGCACTTGTAATCCCGGCTACTTGGGAGGCTGAGGTAGAAGAATCACTTGAACCCATGAGGTGGAGGTTACAGTGAGCCAAGATCATGCCACTGCATTCCAGCCTGGGCAACAGAGCGAGGAGACTTTGTCTCCAAAAAAAAAAAAAAGAAATGGAGTTTCTGAGAGTGTTATGTTAGGAAAAGCAGATTGGGGTGGGAATATGTCCATATGGCGGCAGTACCAGCAAGAGGTAACTATCAGACCTGATGTTTCTGTAGAGCACGAATTTTTCATATCTGCTTTTTAATCCTTTCAGTCACTCTGTGTAATAAGGCAAGGATTATCTTACCAGGTAAGAAAATTGATCTTTCAAGATGTCAGTAACACAGTCATCGTTGGTTGAGCATGGACTAAATCCTAGATCTCCACCTCTTAACTCCAGGCTTTTCCTACTACAACAAGCATTAGAACATGTATCTCTCATTCCAGTCATTTATTGTAAGAGCATTTATGGCTTTGAGGAAAGGAATGTATTGAAAATGAAGGGATCGTGTGTAATTTGTATATTCTGTGGACAGTGACTTATCTGCAAGAAATTCTTCTTACTGAAGGTAGGGCACTTTTTGCTTAAGATTCGTATAGTCCATCTGGAATCTATATTCTTGCCTACTATATTGTAAAAGAATTACAGGATATTTTAGGATGTTGCAGGCCTGGAAGGGGCTTAGTCAATCATGTATTCATTTGCCCATTCATCAGTATGTGTTTTTCAGACATTATTTGCCAGGCATTATTCTAAACCTGTAGATATAGTGATGAAGAGATGTAGTACTTGCCCTCAGGGAACCATCTTTGCAGTCTAGTGGAGGGAATATCAAATAAAATTGATGATTAGGATTAAATGTGATATGAATTATAGTAAAAGTATTTACAAGTGGTAACTATCATAAGCTTGTTAAGGAAAAAGATAATTCATTTGTCTTTGTATATCTAGAACCAAACATAATTCTTTGTTCTACAAATGTTGAATAGAAACACTTCCTGAATAGGAACATTGGAAGAATAAATACATACGTCTTCCTGGGACAATCAGGGAGTGTTTTGCAGAGGTTGGAGCTGAGACTTGAAAGATTTTGTTGATCAGGGCCATATCAGACAAAGGAAACAACAGGTGTGGAAGCTTGAAAAGTTGTGGTATATTTGAGGAGTTACAAGTTATTGTGGTATATTTGGGGGTTTACAAGTTATAAAATGAAGTGTGAGAAGAGTGCAGATGAGGCTGGACCCCAGTAGTCAGGAACAAGAACACAGTGTTTATGTCCACCAGGACAAGAAGTTTAGATTTTGTCCCATAGGTAGCGAAACATCACTGTAGAATTTAGAGTGCTTTCCTCAGCTCCAGAACACTCTAAAAATGAAGAGAATCAGAAAACCAAGATGAGTAAATGGTATCTGTGGCCTTACAATTTGCAAGACATTTTTCTCCTTTAATCTTCACAGCCGTCCTACGAAGTATAATAATTATCTTTAAACAAAAATGAGAAAATTAGATATAGGAGAGATTTGTTTATTCTTACATTATTTCATTCATTCAACAAATATTCAGGCAGTACTCTACCCACTGGAGCTATAATGATAAAATGAATTCACTTTCCTTATAGAAAGTGAAGATAATGTGCATATGATCACAGCTAAAAAGAAGTATGCTAGATTTGATAATCTGATTCAAAATCTCAGGCTCTTTCTACTATACTACACAGTCTCTAAAGACCAATAGAATCACTGAATGGTGAAAACATTATTAAATTCATTTTGTTTCAGCTCTGTTTGTAGCTCTCATAATTAGCCTTATTTTTATCCTGACTGTCCAGCTACTAAATTGCAATGTAGAGGAGGGAACTGATAAAAGGATGTCTCAGCCTTTGGGAATCCTGGTTCTATTCTTTCCCTTTTAATTTATCTCTCCAAGAATCTACTCTTAACGTGTTCATTTTAATGTGGGACAAACAAGTAACTATAAAATGTGGTTTTTATAATAGAAAAAAGATTATATGGGGTTAGTTTTCTCTTTTTTTCTCTTTTCTTTTTCTTTCTTTCTTTTTTTTTTTTTTTTTTTTTTGAGACAGTCTCATTCTGTCACCCAGGCTGGAGTATAGTGGTGTGATCTTGGCTTACTGCACCCTCCACCTCCCAGGTTCAAGTGATTCTCTTGCCTCAGCCTCTTGAGTAGCTGGAACTACAGGCACGGTCCACCACTCTCAGCTAATTTTTGTGTTTTTAGTAGAGATGGGTTTTGCCGTGTGGGCCAGGCTGGTCTTGAACTCCTGACCCCAAGCGATCCACCTGCCTTGGCCTCTCAAAGTTCTGGGATTACAGGCATGAGCCACTGTACCCAGCCTGGGGTTAATTTTCAAATTTAATTCAGATGCCACAGAAAGATTCCTAGCAATTTAGAAATGGCTGTAATAGCTGACGATTTATTATATCTGTAGCAGTACCTTGATGATAACACTGTGGAAGCCATGGCCTTTCGGAAGAGTGCTAAGGAATTACTGCAACTAGCAGCGAAAACATTAAACAAATTGGGAGTACCATTCTGGCTGAGCAGTGGGACTTGTCTAGGTAAAATTCTTACAACTTTCCATTTGTCTTTTTGTCATTTTTGTCCTCTCGCTTTAGGGATTTCTACTTGAGATGACAAAATATCAGTGATATTTGAAGGGTCATATGTATAGACAGAATAAACATGAGTGCATGCAGCAAGGATCTATTGATTTCCTTAAAGAAATTAATTTGAGAATTATAAAAAAGAATGTTAGAAAGGCCATGCTTGTGTTTACTAAAATTTATAAATAATACGTATAAAATTTATATCAGAACATGTAGACTATACAATAGTCCCCCCTTATCCATGGGCAATACATTCCAAGACCACCAGTGAATGCCTGAAGTCTTCGATAGTACTGAGCCCTATATATGCTTTTTCCCTATACATACATACCTATGATGACGTTTAATTTATAAATTAGGCACAGTAAGAGATGAACAACAGTAAATAATAATAAAATGAAACAGTTTTAACAACACTATAAGAAAAGTTGTGTGAGTGTGATCTCTCTGTCTCTCAGAATATCTTATTTTACTGTGCTCACTATTCTTCTTATGATAGTGTGAGATGATAAAATGCCTACATGATGAGATGAAGGGAGATGAAGGATGTAGGCATTATGATGTAGTGTTAGTCTACTATTGAAAACTTCCTGGGCAAATCAAGGAATGTTTAGCAGAGGCTAGATCTGAGCCCTGAAAGATTTGATTTAACACTTCTGAATTATTTCTGGAATTTACCATTTAATATCTTCAGACTGTGGTTGACCACAGGTAACTGAAACTGCTAAAAGTGAAACCACGGATATGGGGGGACTACTATAGTTGATTCTCGGATGATCCTAAATTAGCATTTTATTATTTCTATCCCAAAGATTGTTTATTGCCTTTTTAAATAATTATAAAAAGCCCTCTATTTCGTTACTTCTATACCATACAAACAGCTTGCATTGCACCAAATGTTTCTAATGAGAGGAACATTGAAGGGAGTGTTGTAAGGTCTTCCATCAACCTTTCCTAGGTTGTTGGTAGTATCACTAACTAGACATCGCTGTTCATCTGACATGGACATACAGACTTTTCTTAAGCAAGTTGCTATTAGAATCTGTGAATGGTTTCTGGGTCTCTGTCCACTGTCCATTAAATCAAACTTCTTTGGAATTTAGAATTATTTAGAATCTTAAATTTTGTTTTGTTTTTAATTTGTTGTCTCTTGATTATCATGATAGTTAATTATAGCTGTATTTTCTTTTTCTTTATAATAACCATATCTGTACAAAAGTTAATTCAACTCCTGCCTTTATAGGGATAGGGTTGCCATCCAATTTATTGTTCAATTCAAGAGTCTTAGAGTGAAAGGAAGCACCATTAATAATTATGTTAGTACAACAGACATAAACTGGAATATATGGTTATCCTATCTATTAGCCTTTGTTGAAAATTTACATGGTTCTTCCTGCCAAGTAGCTTACCACTAGAATAAGCCAAAAAAAAAAAAAAAAAAAAAAAGTACATCTTACACATCTATGTGATATTTGCTTTAAGATTTAAGTTTTTAGAAACAAGATTGTTTTATAATGTGTGTCATCAAAGACACTTCATAGTCATTTGACACGATTTGTTTTGAGTTTTCAGTCCCATGGTTTTCTTGACTTAAGGGCACTTATGAGGGAGTTGTATTAGATGATATTTAAGAAAACTTCTATTTTTAATTGTTTATAATTCTTTAATAGAATTATTTTAGAATTCCAAGCAATATTAACCAATAGCAATGCCTATAAGGATAATCATAATCATTTATTTACTTTTGAAAGAATTGGAATGAAATGATTAGAAAGATCGTAGGGGAGACCCAGGAGTCCTTAATAACATTGAGGTATATGTTTTATTTCTTCAAAACAATGCTATAGCAACGAATTGAGAGCACATACATGGTAAACACTTAGAAATATCATTTGGCAGTGTGTTGAAAATTGAAGCTGCTACTGCTTTTTTTTTTCCATATGGCCAATCAGGTGGTCTCTGTTGAGAGCTGTTAGGCTCTACAAATTATTCATCAAGAAAAATATATTGGTTAAGCAAAAGAATTAAATATTTTTTGCATATCTTAACAGCCGCCTCTATCACTAGAGATTAATGATTAAACATTCTCATCAGCAAGTTAGTATTACTAAAGCTAATGGTTTATTCAGAAACTAAAATGTATCATGAAAGTTTTTGAGAAAGCTGAGAGTGCTCAGACAGTAAAAATAGTTACATAGATAGATAGAAGGTTCAGGTGACTGCTCAAACAAAGTCATTTAGTTTGAGATTTAATTTTTAAAAATAATTTTGGTAAAGCACCTTAAGTCTAATCCTGGGAAATAAAATCCATTCTGTAGCCCCAGCCACTCGAGAGGCCAAAGCAGGAGGGTCATGTGAGCCAGGAGTTTGCGTACAGCCTGGGCAATATAGTGAGGCTCTGTCTCTTTAAAAAAAAAAAAAATCCTTGTTACAAATATAATTTGTTATAATAACTAATTTTTTCCAAACCTAAATTTTGTTAAAAAAAATTTAATCTTCTTTTTAGGATGGTATCGACAATGCAACATTATTCCTTATAGCAAAGATGTCGACCTAGGAATTTTTATACAAGATTACAAATCTGATATTATTTTAGCATTTCAGGATGCAGGACTTCCACTCAAACACAAATTTGGGAAGGTCAGTAACAGAAGTCGGCTTCATTTCATAAATAACATATCTCAATTGTAAAGTTTATATTAAGCAACTCAGATATGGGTAAGAATGCTACATATATAATTTTATCACTCAGTATTGACTAGAATGAGTTCAGCAGAAGCCTGTTACCACTTGTAATTTCTGCAGTATCTAGGCAAAAGCAAGAAAATCTGGCTTTCTATTGGGTTGGTGCAAAAGTAATTGTGGTTTTTGCCATTACTTTTGCAGCAACTAATAATAATGAGAAAAGAAGGATCTTGAACTCTTATAGGTGAATGTATTGCTATTATATTAGGCAACAATGTAATATAAAATCAATATAATATATAATATACAATTAATATAATAAGTAAAAATCCCACCCGCCGTACCTGAAGTTACATTGTTTCTCATGAGTCATTTAATTTATGGATGTCATTATCAACATAAAATATCCCATTGATTGCTAAGGGATAGAAATATAGAATCATTTCAAATAAGTACTTCAATTTCTTGTTTATCTTATATGTCCTAGGCTATAGCAGTTTGCTCAGACATTAACCAGGGATAGGTCGTTGTGGCCTAGATGAAATCTCCCTCTAGACAATTTGATTCCTATTCCCTAAGTCCATGATCTCTTGCAATCATCTTGTTCTTAATTTGCTTGTCCCCTCGGAGGTGTTATCCTACAAGCAAGTAAAAATATGTTTAGTCACCAGAAAATTATTTTTTCCATCATAAATAATTATTTTATTTCACTAAAAAATATAAATAAAATATTTTACTGAGGTCAAAGTCAAGTAATAGAGCTCTAGTTATTCAGCAAACATTTACCAAACATTCACTATAAGTATGGCACTGTCCTCTGCACCTGGGACACAAAGATGAATAAATGATAGTTCTTACCCTTGAGAAGCTCACTGTCTAATTGAGAGGGGGAAAGACTGCATAAATAATTATTCAGTGATGAGTGCAGTGGCAGATATATGTACCAAGTCCAATGGGAACGTAATTATTTGTATGACAAGTTTTCTTTAGGGAAATATTCTCAGAATTATTTACATTTTTTACCTTGACTTTTATTTTTTTCTTTTTTCCATGTGTGTAGTATAATGATCTAAACTATTTATGTATGTGGCTCTGAGGAATACCACTTAAGCACTTATTGATTGATTGTTATGAGAGACTTATTTCCTGATAGTTTTATTTGGTTATTAAAGGAAATAATATTTGTTTGGTTCTTTTCCTTTTTTCATCAGAAATCTGCTCTGGAATAGGATGTTTCTATTTTTTTCTGCAGTGATAATTACCATAAATCATTTACTCTGAGTTATCATCAATTGTAAGAAACAACATTATTTTAGATGCAGTTAAGAAATTAAATGATATGTTACTGATGCATCCCAATTTCAGAGGTGCTTTAACTTGAAAAAATGTGCATCTTAGAATGAATAATCTACGTATGTAAAACTTAAGAATCTGTTTCTTTATTTTTCTTTTTAAAAAAAGGTTTTCGAAAATGTATTTCCTTTGTTTCAGTGTGTGAAGGTTTTCATCTTCCCCATAGGTAGAAGACAGCTTGGAACTATCCTTCCAGGGAAAAGACGATGTAAAACTTGACATTTTTTTCTTCTATGAAGAAACTGATCACATGTGGAACGGAGGCACTCAGGCCAAAACAGGAAAAAAATTCAAGTATGAATCAAATAAGTACTTATAAAGTCACTACAGAAATAATTTCAGGAGGTAGAAATAAAGAAGTAACTGAAAATGAAAAGAAAACCAAAAACCTTTTTCAGGACTCCATTATTAGCTAACACTTTTCTTACCCATAGAGTCCAGTTATGCCTGTGAAGTGAAAATACCTAGAAGGACGGTTTGTGAGGAGGAAGTGTCCCTGGGTTTGTCAGTCCAAGTTGATGATACAGCTGGTCTATTCTCAGTTGTGAGAGAGAGAATGAGAATGGGAACCTGAAGAGCATGGGTTTTTGAGTCAGGCTGACCTGGGAAAACTTAGCTCCACCCTAATTTGTGGCCTTCGGCTTTTCTGAACAGTAATCATTTTATCTATTACATTGAGTAATTCTACTGTGTGTCAGGCACTATTCTGAACATTTTACATATATTAACCCATCTAATCCTCATAACAACCTTCAGAGGTAGATATTCTGAAGCCAGTGTGATTGCTGTTGAATCTCAGCTCTTTATTTTACCAGCTGTATTACTTTGAGCAAGTTATTTAACCTCTCTGCCTCAGTTTCCTCAGCTGTAAAATGGAAATTATAGTAGAAATTGCCATATAGAGTGGTTTTAAGGATTAAAAGAATTAATACACAAAAAGAGCTTTGAGGAGTGTCAGGATGTCCTGGGTGCTAAGTAATTATTACCTACTGTTACTAATAAACTATAGTTGTAATAGTAGTACTAGTACTAGTAGTAGTAGTAGTAGCAGCAGCAGCAGTAGTAAAGAAAACTATTTCTCTTCTTAGTCTCATGAGAAATTTACAGATTAGAGACCTGTATAATCATCTCAATATTAAACTGTTATTTCTATTCTTAGAGAACTTCTATGACAGTGTCACCTTTTTTCTAAGACAAATAATTTCTAGAGCCAGTATTAGAATGCTTTTATTCTTAAATTTCTTTCTAAGGCTTGAATTTTTTCTCTCACTGACATGATCCGAAACCTGCAAACCTCAAAAGAACTGTTCATTTCCAACTACTACATTTCTGGAGAGAAAAAGCTTCTTTCATTCTGCTTTAACAGCTCTTTATAGTAGCAGTGTTTGGGAAGTGTGAAGTGTTCTGATTATTTAACAAGAGAAATGAGCAGTGATAGAACTGTCTGGACAGATGGTGTGAGTCCCAGATTTTCTATCATATTACTGTGACCTTAAAAGGCAGAGAAAAGAACAGGAGATGGCTGAGTAGAGTAGTTTCTTTGGAAGATTCCCCCAGCCATATGCCATTTTTATTCTTTTCAGCACTATTTACTTTAAGAAAATGTAGTATTTTTAACACTACTATTCCTTGAGGATGAAGAAAAAATGTTTAAAGCTAGTCAAAGGGTCTTTTTAATGGATTTTAAATATTTGAATAGATTATATATTACATAGTTAAAATATTCAAACAATGTAAAGGATATGTGTGAAAAGTAAACCGTTCTCCATCCTCTGCCCCTCCTTTTCCTGTTTCTAGTTGCCCTTTCCAGAGATAAACATAATTAGTCATTTCTTATGTATCCTTTCAGAGACAAACATATGCTTGTATACATATAGTATTTATGTTCATCTCTCCCCTTTTACGCAAATAGTATTATAGTATATTACACACTGTCTGTATGTTCTTTTCCTCACATATCTACATATCTTGGAAAATGTTCCAAATGAGTATGTATAGAAATAGCTGCATTTTATTCCATTGTATGGCAATACCATAATTTATTCAACCCATTCCCTATCGATGAATATTTAGGCTATTTCCAGTAGTTTGCTGTGACCCTCAGTTCTGCGATCACTATCTCTGTTCATATGTCTTTATGCACACATGTGAAACCCTGTGTAGGATAAAGTATTAGACTCATTTTGGGGCTAAAGGGAATATAAGCATATTTCAATTTTGATAGATATTGCCAAATTGCCCTCCAAAGATGTTTCCCCAATTTATATTCTCAACAACATAGTTTGAAAATATGGGTTTATTTTTTTTTAAAGTGCACCATCTATAAAGAGAGTTAAATTTGCTCAATATTTACCACTAATCAGTAACTAATCAATTATTTGTAATCAGTAACTAAATCTACCATACACCAAATATGGTTGGGAGCACATTAGAATTACTATTGAAACTAATCAGTGTAATGTATCATCTCACCTTCTCCAAAGGTCTTTTTGTCTCTATAATAACCTATTTTTTATTTTATATATAGTTCATTCTGAGAAAAGCTTAATAATGTAGAATGCTTACTATTTTTTGAAAGGCAGAAGAGGAACTCAAGAAGGAAGAAAAAAGATTTTCTTCTAAACTACTCTGCAGGCCTACCAAATGATATCTTTGGTCCTAAGATTTAAAAATATATTAACAGTAATAATAAAGATATCGCTACCAGGATATCTGCTGGCTGATCAGGCACTATGATAAGTAGTTCATATATATATACATATATATATGTTCTGGTTAATCCTCATACTATCCCTGTGGGTTCGGTATTCTCACCTCCAGTTAGACATTAGGAAACTAAAGCTCAGAGTGAAGTAACTTACTTGAGGCTTTTGGCTGTTAATGGCAAGACCAAGATTTAATGCCAGCCCTGTTTGACCCTTAAGCCTAAATGCTTTCTTCTTAGAGTTAATAGGTTAAGTGAATGAGTACATCTAATGCATTTAGAACAGTATCTGGCACATTGTAAGTATTGTGTAAGTAGTAGCTACTGTCAGTACTGTATTATTATGACTATTACCGTTACTGTTATTACCACACTGCACTGGCATAAGGTATAGTACCTTCAGCACAGTGGTAAATTGGATTAGTAATTTTCTAGGCAGGCATTTTCTTCCCCCATCTCATGATACTCATTCTGTCTTTAGTTCTCGGTCTTTTCACTTCTTTATAGGAAGCCCTTCTTTTACCTGAAATCCAAATTCCATTTAAAAATATTGACTGGATTCTTTATTCTGTTTTTCTCCAGCATCCAAATCTGCCAGTAATAAAAGTGATGAATATAATAACTATGCCTCCAGAATGTGAAGTTTTTATTCCTCAACTTCACATTTCCTAAAGATGCTGCCTAGATTTATTTGGTTTTTCTTTCTTTCCCATTTTGAATCAACTGGAATGGGTAGAAACCAGAAGTTTGAAAGGTAATAATAATAGTTAACTATATTGAATACTTACTGTGAGCCAAGCACTATGCCAAGCTTTTATATGTGTTATCTTGTTTAATCCTCACAATAAGTTTATAAAGGAGATTTTATCATAATCACCTTTATTTTATAGATGAGCAAATTAAGGCAGACCTGGGTCAGACCTAGGTGTGTATCACTTCAGAGCCCATGTTCTTACCAGTACACTATGTAATGTCACCATGATCTCTATCATGTTGTTAATACCCCCTCCATGAAAACATTATCAGGGTAATATAGCCACTGCTACATCCTCTAATAGGAAATCTACTCCTTGGGCTAGTAGTGGGTTCCTTATACCTTCTGATGGTTGCAGCTTCTGCTTATTGGATAGATCTTCAGAAAATTCAGATTCATCCTCTGTGAACCACACTCCCATCCAAGTGTGGATCCTATGTAATTTATCACTTCATTTCTGTAAAGTGTATTTACTAACTGCTATGTGCTAAGGATACTGATGTGACTCTAACTTAGTTTCTGCTCTTAAGGATCTCATGATCTAGGCCATGAAACATGTTAAAGTACTCTGATAGCAGTACTGTAATCAAATATATATAATCTATAGTGTGTTTGTTTGTTTGTTTGTTTGTTTTGAGACGGAGTCTCACTCTGTCACCCAGGCTGGAGTGCAGTGGCGCGATCTGGGCTCACTGCAAGCTCCGCCTCCTGGGTTCACACCATTCTCCTGCCCCAGCCTCCTGAGTAGCTGGGACTACAGGCGCCCGCCACCATGCCCAGCTAAATTTTTGTATTTTTAGTAGAGACGGGGTTTCACTGTGTTAGCCAGGATGGTCTCGATCTCCTGACCTCGTGACCCACCCGCCTCGGCCTCCCAAAGTGCTGGGATTACAGGCATGAGCCACCGCACCCGACCTAATCTATAGTTGAAGTACCGAATCAGCCATATCTAGAAACAATGGCAAAGAAGTGTGGCTTGAAAGTAGAGAAATTTGTTAGGTAGACTTAGGAGAAATGTGGAAAAAGTCCTAAAAATAGGTTTATTTAACTATTTTTAAACTAGTTTATTTCTATTTTTTAATTTAAAAAATTCTGTGGGCATCTGTATACATAAAGTAAAAACTTTATTAAGGGGTTGTTTCCTTCAATAGATACCCAAAGGTAGAATTATTAAGTCAAAAGATATGAGCCTTTTAAAGAGTTTTGATACATATTGCCAGGTTGCATTCCTAAAAAGTTACACAAATTTTTATACAGTCGCATGTTTAGTTTGCTATATCATACTGAGTCTTGCATTGTACTCACAGTCATTCATGACTCCCCTGATAGTTTCTTTGAGTAACTTTTTTTTCCACTTTCTTTTTATTATCCCAAGGTATCTTCTTTCATAAAACCAGGTCAGTCATTAGTAGCAAGTCACCAACAATTATTAACTTTCTGGCCAGGCACAGTGGCTCATGCCTTTAATCCCAGCACTTTGGGAGGCCAAAATGAGAGAATTGCTTGAGCCCAGGAGTTTGAGATCAGCTTGGGCAACAAAATAAACCCTGGCTTTATATAAAAATTTAAAAAAAATTACCCAGGCATGGTGGCATGTGCCTGTGGTCCCAACTACATGGGAAGCTGAGATGGGAGGATTGCCTGAGCCCAGGAAATCTAGGCTGTAGTGAGCCACATTTGCACCACCGTACTCCAGCCTAGGTAACAGAGCAAAACCAGAAAAAAAAAAAAAAAAAAAAAAAGGAAAGAAAAAAAGGATCATTTCTTTTAACTATTCCTAACATCAACTGGCTTTTAGTATACATCTAACCCCCTCCCTGTCATCGCAGTCTCCCT